CGTGAGCGCATGTGGGTCTGTGGCGTCCTTTACACGGGCCATTCTGATTCTCAAGTTCCCACCACAGGCACTGACTCTTTGTTCCAAATACTCTCCTCTGTCCGTTCTTATTCTCCAGACTTTCTGTACCAAAATGCACTGGCTCCAGTGGGCATCCAGGCCTTCGGTGAGCACGTTTCCAGATCCTTGAGTGACTAAATGAGCAAACTAACCCCACTTTTTAACCCCAAGTGTGTGCTCCTGATAGTGTTGGGTCATGCACGGAAGACCGTTCCCTGAGCATGCTGGTCGTAGAAAGGGCTGCTGCATGGGGCCTTAGGCCCCTCACTGGATGGTCCCATGGTGTGGACATGACCTCCTGGAAGGCTCAAAGCAGAATATTCCCGTTCATGTCTGCTGTCGGTTATGTAACTAAACGAAGTCCGCACACAACCGCGAGACAGAAAGCCATGCACAGACGTCAGCAGGGTTCCTACTAACGCTGCACTAGGACCACCGCACAGTGGGACTGAAACACGGGATCCCCTAAGATGAAGCAGGCCCTGCTACATCTGGCAATAGCCAGAGACATTCCCCACCTCAATAAGTTTCCTTTCTCCTTCCTCTTGCAACACGCCTTTCCTCTCGCTTGGTTCCGTGCTCTGCCTGCTCCTCTGGGTTTGGTTTGGTTTTGCTTTGTAATGGCAGTGTTTTCGAGCTACTCATACTCACCCTAATTCCCATACCAGTGACCGTGGGGTTATAATCTACATGACTGAGACACCAAGGTAAAGGACAGGAATGAGATCAACACATGTATTGTGCATTCTCGGTGGCCTCTCCCAGGTAAGAATCATGAGAAGCCGACTTGCGCGTGGCAGGCGATCTCTCCCCACGGCCCTCAGGGTGCACGAGGTGGTGAGTGGACCACGCACCGTCCAGGGCCGTGGATGGGGAGTGCTGTGATCCCAAAGTTCACCTGGAGTCAGCATCTTCCCATGCTTTGTCCCATCTTTACTGTGCCTGATTTCTACCGTGTTCATTTTACTAACTGATGAGTTCACCAAATAGGGAGGAATGTCAGAACAACAAAGGACATATGTCCCAAATCCAGAGCTAAGTAAGGTGGGTAGATTATTAATGGTGTCCCTTCATCCCTCACATATGAACCCTATCCCCTTTACATGCTGGGTATGTGCTGTGCCTTAAGTTGTAGCATGCCTGATGGTGAGAAGGAATTGCACACACTCTCGGTCCTTTGATCCCCACAATTGCCTTGGAAGGTGGACGTTCACATCCCCCTTTTATCTTTACAAAGATAAAAGTGGGGTGAGTTTCCCAAAGCTGTATCCTGGGCTTTTGACCTCTGGAGGGTCCTTCTCCCCACTGTACCTCCCATTTTCCCTCAGGTGTCAAACACAATCTCTGCTCTCGGGGAGAAACAGAAGAACTGTCTGGGCTCACACACTGGCCCAGCCACGTTTGGGGTCCCTCCTGCTGCCCTCCTCTCCTCCGTCTTTGTCCCACACCAGTTGTGTGGTGCTTTGCATCCCAGATGGCAAAAGCCTCCACTGGTGACAGGTGTGGGTGGCCTTTGGAGGTGAAGGAAATAAACATTCCGCCAGGGGATTTTGCTCCCAAGTAGCAAATACTGTGTACAGCTGCAGGTGGCCTCGAGCTCTGAGGCTATGGCCAACCCCAGCCTGCCTGTTGTCACACAGTGCGACAGAGGCTGCCCTTCTGGTGGCCATGGTAATAACCTTGCACCATCTCTGAGGAAGGTTGAGAGGATGTCTGTAGTCTGGCCAGCCTCATTCTTCACCCCCACTGTCACTCACTCAGTCTTTCCCAAGTATCACCCAGTGTCCCCTGAACCCTTCATTCTCTGGGCGTCGTCTTCATCCCTCCCACATCCAAGATGGCGCCTGAGTCCTGCTGCGCACAAGACGATGGTTGTGAGTAGGGTTGGCCCATAGACGGCAGGAGGAATCTTCTGTGTTTAAAATATAACAGCTTGTTGAAGGCTTTATCTTTTCCCTGAAGATGCAAAGTGCACTGATTTTCATTATTCTTTCTAGTCATTGGTGGTGGAGATGGGAGGGTAATCACAGTTTCCTCCATAAACATCTTGAAAAACGATCAGGTCAAGATCTTCTCTTGTTTGGCCTAAAGAAGATTGTCTCTGGGCTAATTTCACTGAGTTATGGAGGGCTTATTTTTTAACGCATTAAGAGACCCTCCGTTGTGGAAAAATAAGTGCTATTTCTCATAGAACCAAACCTGTGATTAAAATCTCTGCTCTTTGAGAGGGGGAAAGCAGCATCCATCTGATGGGAGCTCCCTTGGAACAAGAGGTCCTTCTGAGTTTTGGGTCTCATCTGACCCTGGGATGCAACCTGCCGCGTTTCCAGGTCTTTCCTGCCTGTGGCTTGCTGAGATCCACTCGCTCACACTGAGTTTTTATTCTTTGCCTTCAGCCTGTCCCTTCAGCTCAGTGAACAGGCTTTAAGCAAGGCTTTGCTTTGCTGAAGTGTGAGTTCTCTCTCTTTAGGACCAGGGAACATTCCAGAGCAAGTTGTGGGAAGGAAAAGGAAGAGGTGTCTGGGGGTGAGCAGTTCTGAGACCATCGGTCCTCCTCCCGTGCAGTGTGATCACCGAGCTGGGATTGGACTGGCCTGGTCTCCGCAAGCCCCCTTAGCTGTGGCCTGGCAGCCCACACAGCGTGAGGCCTGAAGCAGCGAGGGTTTCTGCCCCGTGTGTTACCACACTTCACCTCACGAGCTGTGGCCGCCCTTAGGAGTAATCATCCCCAGGACAGCAGTTCTAGAATCTCACATCCTTAAGCATCCATCCCCATCCCCAGGCTTCTCGGTGCTGATGTATATGTGGTCGTCGTTTTAGACCTTGGGGACTCTTCTTCTAGTTTTTGTTCAGTTATTTGGCAGTTAAGCCATGGCTTTTGGAACCTCGCATTAGAAGATGACCTGTCGGGGCGCCTGGGTGGCTCAGTGGGTTAAGCCGCTGCCTTCGGCTCAGGTCATGATCTCGGAGTCCTGGGATCGAGTCCCGCATCGGGCTCTCTGCTCAGCAGGGAGCCTGCTTCCTCCTGTCTCTCTGCCTGCCTCTCTACCTGCCTCTCTGCCTGCTTGTGATCTCTGTCTGTCAAATAAATAAATAAAATCTTAAAAAAAAAAAAAAAAAAAGAAGATGACCTGTGAACGCCCTAACGATGGTACCCAAAGGAAAGGGCAGACCTGTGCCGTCTTTTCACAGAACAGTTCAGCAAATCCCAGCTTGGATGGCTGGAGACACGTTTTGCCTTGGCTCACCTTCCTCTTCGAGACTTCACCTCTCCCTTTTCCTAGAACTTCCTTCTTTGCATCTTTGCGTGGTTAGTGACTAGTAAAAGAAATGCGAACGATCTCTTTTTTAAGGGAGCACGCGTCCCGGCTGCTGGGAGCACCTACAGTGCTGGGCGTCGATTAACCAAGTTCCCAAAGGGCGTCCTCCTCTAGCACAGCACCGTCTCTCGTGTGGGGTGCAGGGCCTACGGAATGAGCAGGGCCCAACAGCACGGCCTCCACGGGGAGGCCACCAGCGCCCCACACAGTCCCCTGGTGTGGAATCTCCCCGGTTTGGAAAGGGTGGTCGCTCGTGAATACGAAAACACCCTCCGAAAGGAAAACCGTCCGTTGTGAAAGACCTCACTTGAACTCATAATGTGCCTCAGGAGCAGGGTGGACAAAGCCTAATGAAGCTAGATTCTCAAGGAAACCTTCTAGAAGATGGGGAAGATGTAGAAGAGGAAGTGGGAATTTGGTCTGTGAGACTAAACCGGACTTACAAAAATAACAGCAACCCTTGCGCTCTCACCGCATGCTGGGGTCCTCGCGAAACACTGTTCCCTTAACCTCCATGGCGGCCCAGGGAGGGGGCGTGGCTCTTCTGGCCGCTCTACCCTCGCGGGAGTGGGATGCCCCCCTCTCCCCGCTCCCCCCTTCACAGTGTAACTAGAGCTGTCCTCTGTCGATGATCCAGAGATGCCAGGTTAGTGTAAAACTGTGCTAACTCGGAAATGATTCCTGTCGCCCCGTGGTACCAGCAGGTAGGAGGGTGATCACTTGCAACATGGGCAATGCCATGATTGGTATCACCCGTGTCTCAGAGTCATCTGGGGTCCTGGGGATGTCAATGTGCCACAACCCTCCTGAGGGGCTGAGAAAGTGAAGACACCCCTTCCCCCGTTTTGGGGTCCGATTTGCAGGCAGTGCCTGCAGCCCTGTCTGGGTTGAGTGCCCCAGTGGACCCTGGAGGAGAGGAATAGCCAAGACAGAGAGGAGACTCTGCTCCCCCTGCTCAGGGCACCCAAGCAAAACCCCTCCAGCCTGAGGTCAACCTGCAGTTGACCCGATAGATCTGGATACACTGAAGCCCATCTGGGCCCCAGGGTAATGTCCCAACCTTGCCACCACCCCTGCCTCAGTCCTGGTTGAAGACTGGGGACTGGGGTTTTTAGAACTTTCCAGTTGCATGAATAACACATCTCTTACTTTATTACAATTGTGGTTGCAAAGAACCACGTGTGCGACAGAAATCTTAACCTCTTGGCTCAGAGGTCGCTGTCTGCACTCCCACCCGAAATCCTGGCCTTTCAGCGTGGACTGTGACTCGTGGCCCCGTGTGTGTGGCATCATGCTCATAGCCCACTTGGCTCTCTGAAGTGGAAGTGAAATAAAACAGGCCGTGTCCTTGCTGCTGCCTTTACTATCAGCAGTGCCTTTCCCTGGAGGGGTTCAGTTCCAAGGGTAATTGAAGGTTTACAGCCCAGTAACTCTGTGTTATTGCTTGCTGTGGCTGGCTTTGGAACCCAGTAGGTGTGCAGGTTCTCCAGAATTCTTCCTGCCTCGTCCAGTCCCAATGCCCCCGGGCCATGCTCGTCCCTACAGAGGCCTCTCAGAGAGCCACCCCCTGTGCCTTGCAATAATGACTGACCTTTCCTTCTTTTTCTCTCTTCTCCGCAGTGTGGCAAAGGCGCAGAAAACTTTGACAAGTTCTTCACGCGAGGGCAGCCCGTCTTGACACCACCCGATCAGCTGGTCATTGCTAACATAGACCAGTCTGATTTCGAGGGGTTCTCGTATGTCAACCCCCAGTTTGTGCACCCCATCTTACAGAGCGCAGTATGAAACCCGCCACTGAGAACCAACGCCTCCCCAGCCCCCAGGCCCCCCACAGTGGGAAATGATCCTTAACCCTAAAATTTTAAGGCCATGGCCTTTTCTCTTGTTCCAGATTGAGGGGAGGGGGGCCTGAAAATTTTAGGGTTATTAGTCCAAATGTGAATAACTGTTCAGGGTCTCTCTCTTACAACCAAGAACATTAACTTAGTGGAAGATGGTATAATGTACAGTGTCCAGTTTAATTATGTCAAAGTCCTGTCTGGCTGTAGGTTAACCCTTCCTAGAAAGCAAACAAGCTCTCCCCCCCTCCTTTTTTTGGTACGATTTGATATATTTTCCTTGCCCCTCTGTCGATTTCCACCATTGGGATCCCCCCAACCAGAGATGTTAAAATGAACCTGTACTGGGGCCAGTGACTCTCCACCTGAGACGTCTTTGGAACGAAAGAACAGGGGAGCCCAGAATGTGAGCCAGGTGGGATTGGGGGTTGGGGGAGGCTTTGAAATACCCGCTGCCTCTTTTCTCTGCCTCAGTGGAAACAGTCCCTAGAATTTGAGAGGCCGAGATGAATCATGTCCCCGCCCGTGATTCATTTGCAAGCTCACTGTTACCAGGGGTTGACAGTCTTAACCCAATCACGGTCCAGTGATTACTGGTCTTCAAAACGAGAGAGAACCAACCTCAGACGAGCATCGGGTGACCCTGTCAGCTCCCCTGTTTGGTTGATCAATTATCTTGATACTTGCATTTCTTTTTAAGAGGCCAAATCTTCTAAAGACTTTGCTAAAAGAGCATGTGAAATCATTTCAGATCAAGGACAAACCAGTGTGTCTGTGTGTGTGTGTGTGTGTGTTCATTTTAATCTCTGGGAGATTATTCCGCGATCCAGGGTGCCATCAGCAATCATGCCACTACTCGCGAGTGTTGTTAGCCAACCCCACCCCTCAACCAGTATTTTGCTACCTACGTCCTCAGAAGCTGATACGTATGCCCCCAACCCCTTTTGTACTTATTTATTTACTTGGCTGCGGTGTCGCCCAAGAGTACGGTGTACAGTAACTTAACAGAGTGTCGACTAGAGCATAAGTCTCCATGGCTCGATCTCCCTCCCATCTCCAGCCCTTGACATCCTGCTAAGGGATGAAAACCAATACAGTGTGGTCCCCCACGTCCAGTTCATGTTGAATGACACACCTGAAGCTGTAGAGTCAGGAAAACCTGGGTGCGTATCAGCTCGAAGATGTCCTATTGCTAGAAGGATTTTAATATGTTTTGCAGATACATCATGCAATGAATTTTGCATGTTTCTAAGAAACCTTAATAACAAGTGAATCTATATTATTGATATAATCGTATCAAGTATAAAGAGTATTATAATAATTTTATAAGACACAATTGTGCTATATTTGTGAAGGCTCTTGTTTCTAATCTGCTTTTATGATTAAGTTTTCGCTTAATTCCTAGCTACGTGCTTCCTCTCCCCCCGCCCCTACTCCTTGCGTACCCTGCACACTGGCCCTATATCGGATATATTAATTTTTTATCGTAGATCTAATTTTGAAATGAATGGCTATTTTACATGATCAATTAGGCTTATATACATATATATATATATAAATATATATATAAATATTTGATTCTACCTGCACACAAAAGTTTTTGTTTGGGGGGATTATTTCTGAGATGACATTCTCTCCTCGCTCCCCAGCGCCATTTTCCACTCCTATGCCACTCTTCCTCTTGGGGACATCAGGAAGTGTTTGACTCCAGTCTACCTAGTACGTCTGTGTAGGCGTGATGTTGTCACAGTCCCCCGTCTGGACTCTGTTTGGTTTTTCCTTGTCAGCCTTGTTATTGTTAGTGACTCAGGGTGGGAGGGACAGAAAGATGGCCTTCCTGCTGGGTGCGGGTGCGGACACCCCAGAAGCACGCTGTCCATCCTGCTGCCGCCGGAACGATCTGCCCTTTGCTCCAGCGCACACACGCTTCATGAGGCGACTGTCCAGTCCAGCAGCGCCCCCCCCCCCGCCGGGCACAGCCACTCCTGGCACTATCCGCAGATTCTTCAGAAGCTTTTCTTCCACCTGTTGCTAGAACCAGCCTTCCCAGTCTTGCGATGAGCACCTCTGTGGTGAGACACCGTGCTAGCACAAGGCCCTCGGAGAAACCAGCCTCCTACGACAGAAAGAACATCCAACACGGAAGCAGTTATCAGCTCTTACAGCGCCGCTCCATTTCCCGTTGACCCCCAAACACGTCTCCCAGCCTCGCACCTCCTCATTTCTACTCTCTGGCTGTTTGCCTGAAATTCATGTGACACACGAGCACGGGACGGTCTTTGAAATTGACAGGCCTGGTCCGTCCTGGGAACCCTTGATTGGAGGAAGAGGTGGGGTAGACAGTGTGTCAGCCCCAGAAGGAGCAACTTCCTCTGTCGTCCTTTATGGGCTGTAGACGTCAGAACCCAAAAAGGGGCCCCAGCGTACCCAGAGCTGCAGTCCTGCTGGTCAGTGCACATCTGGGGGACACTGCCTCGCCGGGCACACCTCCTTCAGTTGGGTAGAAAAGGGCCAGTGTATAGAATGAGCCTAAGAAACAAAACAGCCGGTCACCCTGCCCCAGGATGGAGCAGCAGTGGGACGGGCTCCCAGCCAAGCCCCAGGCAGTGAGGAAGGTTTCAGGAAGGAACACATGAGGGTTTCGGGGGCGCTGGCTCCCGAGCCCCATGCCGTCTCTTTGTTTCTGAGCTCACCACAGTCTCAGGCTTTCCCTCACCCAGCCGGCATGTTCCCAAATTATTCATAATTCTCCAGAAAATGTATTCAGCCTCTCAGCTGGCTTATATTCTTTCAGAATGTGTGGCAAAGTTTTAAAAGAAAATCTGGCTGCCCCCCACCCCGCCCCGCGTGGGGACAGGAGGCTTGAGGCCAAACTTGGGGGGAGACTGTAAACTTCAGGGGTTACCAATGGGTCACCGTGATGTGCCCTCACTGGTGCATGGCTTAGTACCGAATCCAGATAAAGGCTAATGTGTTAAGGGTCTGAGCAGTCCCAGACCATGATTTCTGAAAGAAGAAACCGTGTGGGTGACCGAGACCAGCCTTAGACCAGCTTATAAAAGCAGCAATCTCTGTGGTTCTATGGTGTTGTCCCATGTGGTGGCATCGTGTGAAAACGCAGGGAAGCTGGCAGCTGGAATGAGGAGAGCACTTGAACTCTTGGAGTTCAGGCCCTGAGCATTGCCTATATCGTGGAGCCCGTTGAGGTCCAGGATCCTGGGCAGAACATAGCACAGTCGGCTTCCCCGCCAGACCCCTCGACCCGTGACTCTGAGGTGCCATTCGCGTCGTCTTACCTTCTTTTCCCTTGGACGGTGTCTGACTCAGCAGCAGATCTGGGCTCTGAGGCTGCAGGCCAGTGGGCCAGCAATGCCGGTCTCTTGGCACCTTGTCTAAAGACGCTAGATGCTTGGTTTCGATGGAAGTTTCTGGAGTGTGCGGCTGGGTGTAGCCCTCGGAGGTGAATGGGAGGCTCCCTAAGACAGTTCATTCATTCAAAAGGCGATGGCTGCTCTCCAGCCCCTCTGCTTCTCTTTGATCCCCGTGAGCTGGTGCCAGCGAAGGCAGAATCCCCGTCAGTCGGGTCTTAGGAGATGTGTCAGGCTCTCTTATCAGGAATTCTGGCAGAAAATTGGAGCATTAGGGCACTTCAAAAACTTGACCTGATGTGGCCGGTTGCTGGGTGATGAAAGACCACAGTTGACACAACCAGCCAAGGACGTTGGGGCACCTCTCTGAGCTGCCGTCCTCAGCAGAGCGAGGTGTGGACCCAGAGAGCCACCGCTGACGTGCAGAGAGGGGGGAGGTCAGTGGAGGCTGAGGTCCACATGGCATTTAGAGAAGAGCGGGGATTGAGTGTATCCGAACGATGCTTGTGAGAGGAGGAAGGCAGGAGGCTGTGCAAGGAGAGGCCATCTCGGGAAGGAAGCTGCTGCCATTTCCAGTGGCTTTGTGTTGTGGGTTGTTGGTGCATTTGATAGCTACCCCCTGCTGGTCCCCGAGCACAGGTTCGTTGCCAGGGACGCAGTCTGGTCCTCAGAAAGGATCCCCTGAATGCCAGTCGCGTCCGCAGCAGCCACGGGAAGATGCTGCCCCTGCTTCCCTCAAGGTGGCTCACAGTTTTCTGGGCAAGGCCACACCATTCGGCTCACCCTGGGAGACAGGAGGTCCCCACCCGGCTTCCGCCACAGCATCCTGCCCAGAAGGACCGGGGACGGAGGGAGAAGGGGCAAAACGAAGGAACACTCCTGTCCCCACCTGATTGCCCTTAGTGGGAGAAATCTCACTTGTTGCTGGGATTTGTGTTCTCAGGATTGAAGAGGGAGGGAAAGTGAGAGTCTGATATTTTTAAATGCCTCTGAAAGGCAACACCAATTGACAGGCACTTTCTCACTTTACAAAGTCACCTGTTTCTTGTGTGTGCATATCACACCATTTCCTGTCTCTTTAAGCCCATCGGGGCGGGAGTGCCTGATCCCCCCACACCCCCGTGACTAGCACACTAGTCATCAGCAGGAAGGAGGCGGCTGGGGACAAAAGGACGATGGTGATGGTCAGTCGTTAAGAGTTACAGGAGCAACGGGGCCAGGAGGGTTAGTACCAGTGACAGGAAAGGGCACTCTGGTTCTTAGTGACCACACGCTAATGTGACAGGTGGGAAACTATTTTTGGAAACCTTTTCCTTGAGTTGCTTGGATTACATCTCATGGAATACACCAGACTGTAAACATGTCTGTCATTTCTCATTGAAGCCGATGAGACAACATCTAGGGAATGCTGTATATTATATATTTCTGCTAAGGAAGATGCAGAAACTTGGAAAAGGTTACCTGAGCTACAGTGAGTGAAGGCATCTAGAAATGGTGTCAGCCACAATCCTGTTAATTTTCTAATGTCAGGGACTCTTTGGGAGGGTTAAAATCACGTGTGACTAGGACCCCATGTCTCTGATCTGTGATCAGGAGTCCGGTGATAATTGTGTAGGTCAAATCAGTCATCAAGCCTTACAAGGACCCTACATTAAGGCCCACAAGTTCCAAAGACTTTTTTTTAAAACTTAAGGAAGAAATTAGTTAATTCTAATAGAACAACAGTATACTAGGCTATTTGTACTTTTTTATAGAGAGCTTTAATAACTCAATTCTTCTTTTAAAATAAGTTTTTAAAACAAAACTACTGACAATTTGATAAGATTCCCAATCCTATGGGGCCTGGAGGAGGACTCAGCTGGGGTCAGCTAGAGCACCCCTGACCTGCACTCCCACTGCAGGATTTTCCCATGCCAGTGGCATATGATGTCCAGATCAGGACGGCTGGAAATTCAGGTGGAATGTGTTGGCAGACCGATGCCCTCCATGTTTTTGGTGCACACTGAGGACAGCCACCTAAGGTCTGGAAACCTTTGGACCCTAGGAATGATGGTTTTATTGCCCCCTTCCAGAAGCAGCCCTAGGATAACATTCCCCTGAGGTCCCTGGATCTCTTTCTTTGCTCTGTGAGGGTCTGTGACCACCTTTTGGTTTGGGGACTGGGCGCATCCTCGGCTCTGTCTCTAGTCACCACAAGTCTGCAAGGCTCACATTCAGTGAAAATTCAGAGGTGCCCTGGAAGGATTTTGTCCACTGGGCAATTCATATATACTTCAATATCCCCGAGAAAGAAGAGGCGGCAACAAACACTCCCAAGGGCCTCTGTCTCCGAATTCTCTCTTACATGAGTAGACAGTACCCTACTTTTCAGAAACTCTCCAGTCTACTTTATAGGAACTTTTTTTTTTTTATTCTAAAATAAGACAAAAGGTGGCTTTGCATTTTCTGGTTAAATAATTGTGTCTTCGTCTCCTCTGCTTAACTTTAGGAGTATTTATTCTTGTGATTGTTCATAGATTTTTGTTGATATTCTTCCTGGAAGAATGGGATCCTTAAGGGGTTTAGTGAACAATTCAAAATCATCCTTGAAGGCAGTTACGCTTTTGAGTGTAAATGGTCTGAAAATTCACCTCCTATCCCTTCTAGCAGGGTCTTTCAGAATATCTTTTATAGATGGTCAGAGACATTTGAAATCATTGCTTTTGCTCCATGAGAGAGAGAGAGAGAGAGAGAGAGAGAGAGAGGGAGTGTGAGTGTGTGTGTGTGTGTGTGAGTGAGAAGGACATGTCACGTTTAAATCATTCATTGGAAAACATCGTACAAGACCCCAAATCTGTACAGAGGAGGAAGATGAAGAGACGGAGGTTGAGGTTTTTTCCTTCTGTATAATCACCTTCTGACAAAATGTAGAGGCCATTCAACTGTCCAGCAACATTTGGTTTAAAGCAGGCAAGATGGATGTGTAAGTTACTACTGCCGCTTTCCTCAATTTGTATAACCTCTGATCTTTGTTTGCATGATATGCTTTGTTAGATACATTCATTGTAGTTTGGAAGCAAGTGTGTACGAATAAATATAATGACCATTCCTCAGCGTCCTTGGTCTCATTTGCCTGGTCCCTTTGTGGATCACAGTTATGGTTCAGCCCGTGTCCAGCCAGAATTCCACCCCGGGGGGCGCCTGGGTGGCTCAGTGGGTTAAAGCCTCTGCCTTCGGCTCAGATCATGATCTCAGGGTCCTGGGATCGAGCCCCACATCGGGCTCTCTGCTCATCAGGGAAGCCTGCTTCCTCCTCTTTCTCTGCTTACCTCTCTGCCTACTTGTGATCTGTCAAATAAAAAAAAAAAAAAAGAAGAAGAAGAAGAAGAATTCCACCCCGGGGCCTTCTCCTGTTCATGCAGGCCTCTCCGTTTAAGTTCATGCTGGATTTTCTTAAAATGCTTTGTGCTTTGACTTGAGACCCCAGCAGTCACTGGGATAAAGGAGCAGCAGGTCACTCCCTCGTTCATGGATCAGCCCTTGTCAGAGCACCTGCACAGGTGCCAGGAATGTGCTGGAGAGGGGAGCAGGACACCTGGGGGAGGCCCCCCTGCCTGCAGAGAGTTTCCGCTCTTCACTCCCAAATGGTGGGGGACACACAGCAACTGACAAGGGCGTTGTCCATCCTGTTGGCCACACTGTGCACCCGGCTTTGGGACGGCAGCTGCTCTTGGCATCAACAGCCTTCATTCTGGACTTATTTTATTCATAGGTGAAAAACAGGGAGTAATTTTTGAATGTGAAATAGGTAGGGAATATCCCAAAACATCCAGAGTCTCAACACTCAACACTCCAAGCCTCAAACGAGAATAAAAGCTGGGGCACCCGGGTGGCTCTGCTGGTTGAGCATCGAGCTCTTGATCTCAGCTCAGGTCATGATCTCCTGGTCATGAGATCAAGCCCCACATCAGGCTCTGTGCTCAGCAGGGAATCTGCTTGAGATTCTCACCCTCTCCCTCTGCCCCTCCTCATACTCTCTCCCCCACCCCTTTAAAATAAATATCCACAATAGCCAAAATACAGAAAGAACCCAGATGCCCATCAACAAATGAATGGATAAAGAAGAGGTGGGGTGTGTGTGTGTGTTTGTGTATACACACTCACAATGGAATAGTACGCAGCCACTAAAAAGAATGAAACCTTGCCATTTGCAACAACGTGGATGAAACCAGAGGGTATTATGTTGAGTGAAATAAGTCAGAGAGGCAAATAAACAAATTTCACTCAGATGTGGAATTTAAGAAACAAAACAGATGAACATAGGGGGAGGGAAGGAAAAATAAGGCAAAATCAGAGAGCAAGGCAAACCATCAGAGACTCTTAATCACAGGAAACAAACTGGGGGGGTGCTGGAGGGAAAGTGGGTTGGGGGACGGGGTAACCAGTTGACGGGCATTAAGGAGGCCACGTGATGGAGGGAGCATTGGGCGTTATATGCGACTGATGAATCACTGACCTCTACCTCGGAAACTAATACACTATATGTGAATTAATTGATTTTAAAAACAAAACAAAAAAGATGTTAGTTGAAAAATAAAATAAATTGATCTTTAAAAAAAGAGAGAGAGAAAAAAAAAGAGAGAGAGCCACCATAACCCTACATCTAAAAGCTGAGGGTCAGCCTTGGCAAAGTTCGCCTTTGCTCGCTTCCCCACCTCCTTCTGGGGGGCTGCTTTCCCTGCTGGCTCAGGGCTTGCTTTGTCCCGAAGCTGCCTCCATGTCCCCTCCCAGCGTATCCACACTTGTTGTCCTGGTTCTTTTTCCTCCAGACCTCACTCCCAGCCCACTGAGTGGGGTCCTGAGTGCTCCCGTCCACTCGGTTTAAGGTCCCCGCCCCGGCCTGCCCCTGCTCTCACCTGGACCTCCCAAAGTTAAGCGGCTTTGGGCTGCCAGTGGGAGCACGGGTGGGACCATTACTGAGGAAGAACGAGGGGCCCTCGGGGCAGTGAGTGTGCGGTGGCTGGCCCCTGGGCAGGTCTTGAACTTCACTCTGGGCTGGTCACTTTTACACATCCGTGCAGCTCCTGCCTCGTGCTCATATGGCCTCGCAGGATGGCGGGGGGCAGAGAGGATGCCCTCGGCTTCCCCCGGGGGGGCTACCTTAGCGTCCGTGCATCTGGTTCAGCACAGTGTTGTCTCGAATTCCCTTGGCCGCAACGCAGAGGGGTGCCCCCTGGGTCGCCATGCGATGAGCGGCGTCCTCAGCAGCAGCTGGTGACCCACGGGGTCCGAGCAGCCCATCGTGAGGTACCCGTGTGGGGTGACCCCAGCGACTCCACAGGATCGAGGAGGCCGCCCCCCCCCAGCCCCACAGAGCCCAGGGGATGGCCTGAGCAGGCAGCAGGGGGACCTGGCAGGACTGCAGAACATGTCCTAGAGGATCACCCCTCACCCCACCTCACCCCGCTCCCCGCACCTGGTACTTGGGACACCAGGGAGCCTCCGGCTGGGCGTGCAGCCGGTCAGCAATTCAGCTCGGAGGCTCACTCAGCTTGATGTGTTTCCCACCCTTACAACCTTCTCCCCGTGCCCAGATCCTGGCCGCCTCCGCGTGTCAGGCCCCATTTGCATCTGCTGACCCCGCACCCTTGCCTTTCCCCCTTTTGCATCCGACTCTAGAGGGGCAGCCTAAGTGGCCACTGGGGGCGAAGTCTGCAGCCACGCTGCCTGGCATCCCCCTTCGAGCAGGGCAAGTGATCTGGACCTCTCCATGCCTCGGTTTCCCCATCTGTATAAGGAAATGAGGATGGCACCTGCCCCAGTGGGTCACAGTGGGGAGCGTTAGAGTGTCTCAGGAAGGAAGTGGGAGCTGTGGGAGGGAGGCCACAGCCCTGGGTTTTGCTGAGACTGAGCCTGGGGTGGTCCAAGGGCAGGAGAATGGTCTTAAGGGTTTTCTCTCTTTTAGTCCTTTTTGAGAAAGGGGCCATGAATCAGCTGATCAGGGGATTCCGGTCGGAAGAGGAGTATGGAGCCAACCTCGGAGTCCGGGGCCAGGGCTGCCTGCAGGCGTGTGGGCACCTCCCACCCGGCAGGCCTGGAGGGGTGCTGCTCTATAAACGCGAACCCAGTATTCAGGGAGAGGAGCAGCTGAGCTGCGGAGGAGGGAGATGGGGGAGCGCTGCCAGGGCTCAGCTTGTGGCCCCCACGGGGACAACTGTGCTCCCTGGCAGCAGCCCAGCCACCTCCCCCGCCCCCGGGCGGTTCTGGGGGCGGCAAGAAGGCCCGTGGAGTATGATGAGCTCCGGGGACAGCCCCAGGCGGCGCGACGGCGGCCCGGGAGCTCCATACCTGGTCCCAGGCAGCTACGCGCTGAGCGCCTGTTGAAGGAAGGGGGGTCCATGTCTAACACATAGAGGAATTCAAGCCTGGGGCCTACCTACCTGTCCCTGCCCCAAAACTTTGGGCAGCGCCCCCTGGTGTGAGTGTTGAGTGGGAGCTCCCCGAGGGGCAGGCCCGTGGCTAGGATACAATGTAGGAAACGCGGGGTCAGGCCTGGAATAGGCACTTCAGCGGTAGGATCCCAACTTCAGCAAGACTTGCTCACGTCCATCTTTCTGCACCTACGCTTCCCCCAAGCACCACACAGTGACACCCACCTTCTTGGGTCCAAGTCCCTGCCCAGGGCTCACCCTGACTCCAGCAGGAGCCTCCTGTCTACAGCTTCGCTCAGCCTCTCCTGTCTGCCTCCTCCCTGCAGGCAGAGTGAAGCCCTATGCTGCCACATCAAACACTCCAAGGACATCCCATGGTCCTTGAGAAAGACCAAGCCCCCTAACACAGCTGTGAAGCCCTGTGCAAACTCTCCCCATGCCTGGCATCACCTGCCCCCATCTAGCCCCACATTCTCTTGACTCTCTGGCTTTCCTTCAATTCCTCAAATGAGCTGTGATGTTTCCAACCACAGGGCCTTTGCACCTGCTGGGCCCTCTGCCTGAAACATTTTTCTCTGAGCCCAGTTAATGCCACCTTACCCTGAATTATTCATTCTTGCAGAAGCCTTCTCTTTCCTCCCAGGCTGGTATATTCTCCTTCCAACCCTCATACACTTGCTTAGTGCCTACATCCCTTCTTTGTTGTACTTATCATGCTGCCATTTTATACTTCTTTGTGGGAATATTTGATTGCTGGCCTTACCAGCTTCCTTTTTGAAATCAGGTGTCATGCTGGGCTGTGCTTGCATTTGCTCTTCTGGGGAGTAATACAGTTTGTAGCCCAGAGTGGGATGGTCAAAACCAGTCCTCCGTCCACTACTGGCCTCACCATCCCATGTCTATACCTGCCCACTTCTCTTCAACCCATCAGCAAGTCTTGGAGGTTCTCCTGGACAGCCATGGTTCTCCATGGGAAGAGAGTGGAGTTTTGCAATATCCAAAGACATTTTTGGTTGTCACAACTGGAGGGAGGTGCTACTGGCATGTAGAAGGTGAAGCTCAAAGGCCAGGAATGCGGTGATGCATGAGACAGGGCCCCCCGTCCCCAAACAGAGAGATCGGCCCAAAGTGTTAGTGGCGCTGCTATGGAAAGCCCTGTTCTAGAATATACTCTCCACGTGCTCTGTTCTCTCCGTGGTCTCCTTGAGATCACCCTCGATCCCCCATGACCCTCTCTGCACAGCCCTCAGGGTGACCTGGTCCCAGCAAATACCTTCCCTGGTTCAAGCCCTCCAATGGCTTCCCATCACCTTTAACACAAAACCCCAACCTTCCCATGGCCTAGCAGCCTCACGCCATCTGGATCGAGGCACACGGGCTGGGTGCTTTGGAGGTGAGCTCCGAAAAGGGCTGGCCTGTGTATCTGGCTGTGTGTGGGTCCCAGCCCATCAGAATGTAAGCTCTGTGAGAGGGACAGGTATATCCACTGTGTCCACTGCTGGATCCCAGCACCGAGGGTGCAGCTTGGCACAGAGTGGGGGCTCGGAACAGTGTGCGTTGAAGGAGTGAATGAATGAATGGACCCAAGACGGCTCCAGGTCTAGCAAACCATTGCTGTGTTTGGCCGTGGTATCCAGCAACTAATTAAGGAGACGAGATGTACACACACACGTGCGCA